AGTTTAAGTTATGTGTCCCATCTTCTATGAGGGACAAAATGGTCTTTCCTGTAACTCTATGTTTTTGAATAAATACAAGTGGGTCAGCTAGGGGAGAGTGATTTTGACTCTCTTCTAGTTTGGCCGAACCTTTCTTTCTTCTTCTTCTTCTTCTTTCTCTTTTCTTTCTTCTTCTCTACTTCAACCTAGAATCTGCTAGGTTTACTAACAACATTTCTGCCACATTCATTTTCTGGACATGTTTCTTGACTGCCCATCCTGCTCTAAATGAAGAAATTTGGCTTGCTGTTCAAAATCACTAGGAAATTGAAACAAACCCATGTATTGGGTTTTTGCCACAGGAAGGGGGTTAAGTTCGAGTAGGTTCTTCAGAACTTTGAAAAACTAACCTTCCTTCTCCATACAAAGCAAATTGGTGATTAAAAAAAAAACACCTGCAACAAGTTTCATCCTAAGATGGCTATCCAATTCATATATCTATCAGCACAGGAAACACAAACATCATAACCTATAGATCATCAGGCTATAGAAATGTATTCTAAATGCAGACACATGGAGAGCCAAGAAAGCAAGCTCCACCTGCAAGTTGAGATAAAAAAAGGTAGGAAAATTTCTTTGATTCACTGTTCTTCCAGTTTCTGAATCAAGCAGAGCCACAAAAGGAAGAGTTCAGTCCCTTGTAATGTAACAGAATGCTCTTCCAAATCATCCAATGCATCCTTCAATGGATAAATCCATCAAATAGTTGCATTATGTAGTGGGTATGACAAGGAAAACTTTGACTAACATTCAGCAAAATGGTGCAAGAAGCATATAGTTTTAATGTGTAGAATAGAGCAGAAGAAAGCTAAAAAATGTAGGGAGTTTGTGGGGTTTGTTTTTGTAAGGTTGCTTTCGAGGTGGCTTTTTCTTTCTCCTTTGGTGATTTTTTATCACCTCTGTTTGTATCTTTTCTTTCTTTCTAATGAATTTTCTTTTTTAGCTATCTATACCCCAAACTCTGTAGCAGCTCTACATTGTTATCTATACACCAAGGAATACAAAGAAAAAAAACTGCAACAAGACAGAAGTGAACTCTCCAGGCTCCAGCAGAAATGAATGAATAAACACTCCATAAAAGTAAAAAGTGCAACAACACAAATATAAAAAATGTCGCCAGGGCAAGTAAAACAAGGGATGACATAAGAAGAGGTACCAGCTATGTGTTTGTGTATTGAGTAGAAATCATTATTGATGACATCAGAAGAAAAAAGAACTTCAGTGTTCAAATTGTATCAACAATAGTGGATAATACCAAGTGACCAGAAATCAAAGCATATACCTGCATTGGGGCTTAAACCCCAAGTCTATCACATTAAGACCAAAGATCCAAAACACTCCTCCCCTTGCAGAAGCACCAGCCAAATCATTTTCTGATATTGGGATACATGCAAACAAGCAGTTCATGCTAGAGGTTAATGTCCGTCCTTCTCTTATGTGATTATGCCTAAGAACCAACGAGCCTGATGCTCTAGTGGACAGCCAGTCAATTATAACTTGCAGTCCCCTTTGTCAATTAAATCACTCCTACATGAGTCACATGCCAATTTTAGCCCTAATCAAGATTCTTTCACCAATTGGATCAGATTAGCTTGTGATAATGGCACCTGATTTGCCCCTAAACACTCCTTCAATACCAGAAGGTCCAACATTACTAATGGAACAGCCATCATTTAATTTTATTCTCCTTATGGCTGGAATCTTCCATGCCCAAAGCAGACATCTTCAATAAGGAGTGTAACCAGCCACAACTTACCAGCCTCTAAGGATGGAATCCATTGAGACACCCCAGAATCACTCACTAGTAAAAGACTCAATAAGGCACTCTTACAATCACCAGGTCAATAATTAGGATAGCATCTTGCATTTTGTTTCCAAATATCTTCGCATTTCTTCTATCATACACTCCATAAGACAGTCTCCATAATGCAATCTTTTATTAGTAAAAAAACAACAGCCTCCATTGCCACATCTAATTCTTCCCCCTTCCCCCTTTAAAATTGGAGGAAGCAAATGAAGGTTAAATAGGTTTAAGATATTTGCTTGAGGTGCCACTGCACACAAAATGAGGCAAAGTAGCCAAGTATCTCAAAAAACTATTCTTAAAGATGCAACTGGGCTCCCTTACATTTGAGTAAGATATTATCTCTGTTTTGTCTTCCAAATTCTCTTTTCAATTTTGATATGCTTACAGTAGGATGGGGCAAGATTTCTGTCCCCCCGCTCCAAGGTTTCATTTTAATTTAATTGGGTTGTTTGGGGTAGGCCAGTGCTTAGTGTAATCGTAAAATCACAGGCTGCCAATGCAGGTTCAAGTCTGTGAGCAACCACTTTGTGCTAAAAAAATGCCAAATGTTAGGTCCATATCCGGTCCACCCCTCGAAAGACTCCAGATAGTTGAAACCACCATTTGGAAACAACCTTTATTTTTTGGGTTGTTTGGTGTCTTAATGCATATATAATGTTAAGGGGAATGATTCAGTTCGCCCCCTTCTCCCTCTTTTTGTGAATTCTTATTTTTGCTACTATTAATAAAATTTTGAAGTTTCCCCACGCCCCCCCCTCCTCATCCCTTCACCTCAGTAGCTTTAGAGGTCAAAAAATACTATCTAACTTTTTTTGAAAGGTCAAAAGATACTATGTAAAATAAGGTTTATTCCTGATGACCTCTGCATAATTGTAAATTTTTTATATGGATAATTCAAGAAGTTTCCATGTCTGAATGAATGCTTGTTGAGCAACTAGAATCCTGATGAATCTAGGTCTTAAATTTATAAACTGTACAAGTTTGCATTCCATGCAAATCCACCTAGTTTCCGAAGCTTATTTCTTTCTTTCCTTTCCTTTTTTCTTTCTTTTTTTTGTTGCTGCTAGGTGCCCAGTTTCTGAAACTTGATATCCATCTAATCACCTCAATTTCCTATATAGACATCTACAATATTCAATCCAAGTATTCAAAGAGTATGAATTGGATAAGCATTCTGCAACAACTGTTTTATGCAGTATATTAATTATTCCTCTTTATCATGCATATACAGATTCAGTTGAAAATACATCCTGCATTAAGTATCTTTCCCAAGCAAAGTTTCACAATGATCAAAATCATGAGATAAATGTGACAAGAAGGGAAAAATTGGCACTATTTCAGGGGCATCAGAGAAGTGACCATCTGAAGTAACTTACGGCAATTTGGCCATGAGGAGTTATCTCTTCAGAGCAAGACCTCTTCAATGGACTTCAACTTTCTACTTCAATACCCAACTTCAGCTCAAACTTGATGTAACCTTCACTTTATTTAAGGACTAAGGATATTGCAATTCTATTTCTCCCTGTGTCAATGGTTGTCATTCTTAGACATCATTGAGCATTCTAAAGCTCAAAGAATATTTCACTTAGGGACAAATAAATGTCAATGCTTCACCTGTCATAAAAAGCTTTTTCATCAAGGATCTCCCCTAATTGTGCTTCAATCATCCACAAAAAGGAGAGACATTCTCTTAGAATAAACTCTTCAAAATGATTCTCACCCAAAAATGAGAATCTCCAAGATTTATAGCACATAAAATGACCCATGGTCAGTACTATGTAGAAACTTCTGAGTTTCAATTTAAGACTTTTCTAATAATGCCACTCAGGAACTAAGGAACTGAGAACTTGTGATTTTTTTGTAGGCAAAATCACAAGCATTCGGGTTAAGGATATTGAGGCTTCCGAAAGATTGAAATGGGTGAGGCTCCAAATATTCCAAGGCCATTGAATATAATCCAAGTTAATCGCTGAAGTGAGTGTCCTCATCTGTAGTTCTTTCTTTCTCGCTAAAATCAGGATCCACGCCAATTTCTCCATGCATTGCCAACTCGTCTTCAACCATAAAACTCCCAGATCTTTCCTCAGCATATCCGCTTTTGATTCTTGCCCTTTCATCCTGTTCTCTATCTCTCCTAAGGTTACCCAATTCTCTATCCACATGAGCCTTCCTAGGGCTTAACAAAATTAACTCGGCCAACTTTCTCCTTGCCAAGTACAAGTCATTAGGTTCTATCAACTCTCCTTTCCTATAAGCCTCCCTAAGGAAAACAGTGTGAAGCTTCCCATGATTCCCTCTGGTGGAGATATAAAATATCCCCTGATGCTGAAGAAGAAACTCTTTCAACTTCTTAGGCAAGTTCATTGCCAACCGAAAATGCGCAATCCTCTCCAAAGTAATCTTTTTCTCCACCGTCAACGATAACAATTCATGTATTGTTGCAACAGCCCTCTTCTCCATACGCTTCTGCGCCTCAAGCGACCGGAGATCATAACCCGACACGTCTTCATACGGTGACCAGTAAGGAAGCCGTTGCCACTTCCAAACAGCAATCTTATAGTATTTACCAATCTTAAACCCAGGCGGGAAGTTGACGATGAATGAAAACCGACTATTTTCTGCATCAATTCCTTTCTCCCTATACTCCTTCTCCCTCAGCTTCTCAATTGCACAAACAGCCAAACTGGGGTCTCTCTCAACAATCTCAATGTACTTTGAACGCGTGTCTGTGGCATCGAATAGCCGGAAATATTGAGGGTACTTGAGAACTACGGAGAATTCAAAGTCTTCCGGGAGACCAAGGTCGAGGTGGGCAATCCGTATATGTTCGAGGCGGAGGCGACCCGTGTTGGACAACATAAGCAGCTTCCGAAGACAGGTGACTGCATCGGGGATTTGAGCCGCTAGAGCTTGCTTTTCTTGCTCAATTTGGAGGATGGCCTTCCGGGTGAGACGAAAATAGAGAATTCGCTGAATTGGGTGCTCGTAGATTTCAAATATATGGGGGAATTTGAGGACAAAGGCACCGGCTTCGTATTGTTTGAAGCCAAGACGGCGGGAGAGGGTGTCGAGGCGGGCAGTGCAGATGGCCTGGTTTGGTTGAGTGAGGATGAGATCTTGGAATTTTAGGACCTTGAGGATCTTCTTGTGAACTTCCATGTAGTTATCGTAGCCATGGTCACGTACCCTTTGGATCTTTTTAGGGATTGAAGTGGATTGTGACATACTCCTGATGAGAGTGAAGCTGTAGTAGAACACATGTTTGCAGAGAAGACTTGTCGTAGGGAAGACTCTGGCGTTGAGGGGTCTAAGAGATTGCATTCCTTCCAAGCGAATGGCCGTATGAGAGAGAGAGAGAGAGAGAGCAGGGGTTTATTAGGGTTTATGCGGAGGATAGACCACAATAACCATTGCAGAAGGGAAAATGGGAGGATCCCTGCCATTTACGAGCTCAGTTCTATTGCCAACGCGTCCAACATGTTACAACAAGCCACTAAAGCCGCATATCGGGAATATCTCTCCACGAATGAATGAAAAAAAAGGAGATATTCCCACTTCCCACCAGTACGAATTCAAGGCTGTGTTTGGAATCATGGGCGATTTTTCGATAAACGCCGCTCATGGCGTTTTTTCAATAAACGCCGCTTCTTGGCGCCACCTCAGCGTTTGGCGTGATAAACGTTTATTAGAATTTAAATGCATGTTTGGTGCGATCGTTTATCTTAAAAACACTAATAAGCCGAAATGGGTCCCCCAATGGCTTCGCATTTCACGAAATGCGCATATGATGTGGCGCTATTGGTGCGATGCAATCGTTTATCGAGAAAACACCAAAGAAATGAATCCCCCAACGGCTTTTTGTTTCACGAAATGCGCATATGATGTAGTGCTAACGTGGATGGTGATGTGACGATTGAGGGAGAGAGATCTGGTGCTTCGTAGATCATTGAAATTTGACAAAAACACCTTGTCCCCAAACCCTAACAACTGTGCGAGAGCCGAGAGGGACTTTCGCAAGGATAGCCATCGAGAGGGATAGCCACAGAGAGGGACTTGCGTAGGGAGATTGCTTCTCACGCTGACTAGAGGGTGAGATGCCGGTAGGTTTGCCGTCGACAGCGTCAAATCCCTCGCCTCGACACCGGTGTTGTCTAGCAGACCTAACCTCCACCCCCCATCCCACAAGGTACTTCATACACCGGGGAATCGATTCCTAATCCGGCAAGGTGGTGTTGTTGCTTACGCCAAGAAGGTGCTTCATTGCGGTTTATTTTCCGATCCGAACGATATCTCATACCTACCCCTTCCTCTGAAGGTTGATCTTTTGGTCATATTTCTTTGCTGTGTTTCACGATTCCCTCCTGTCGTGGGAGTTTCGACTTTCGATGTTTCAATTTATTTTTGATAGAGTAGCAAATGTTTCTTTTATTTTGAGAGAAATGTTCTTGATAACTTTGCCGATTATTTTAAGAGAGTGGCTAGAAGTTGATATTTTTTAATTCGTTGTTATCATATGATCCATTTTACTTGTAAAGTTGAAGTCTCTAAACATTAGGCTTTTCAGCACTATCAATCTACAAACTCGGAGGCTCTAAAGTCTAAACATTAGTATTTTCAGCACTAATGTATGAAGTTGAAGGCTCTTAACATATACTTAGGAACATAGTTATCAAACTAATGTGCCATTCAGCCATTAATTAATAAGTGGCTCGTCTGCAATAAGTTATTCAGTTCAGCTGCGCCCCTTTAACATACGCAAAGGTGGATGCACCACTCCGGTATCACATAACACTTCCAAATCTCAACCTAGACGTTTCTTTGTTATTTCTTTGGAATCACCATTTTCATATTTGTTACATGTATTAGTTTTTTCTTTCAATCTAATTGTTTTGTATAGCAGTCTGCATCTGACCATATAAGGACTAGTGTTCAGGCTAGGGAAGAGACCTTTTATTTAATTTGCAGCTTTAACACTGCAGTAATCATAATGGTTGGAGGGTGTTTCTAGTGCTACCAACATCCAAACTTTTGTGTGTTCTTTCTACCATGGGTGAAGAACCCCAAGTCTGGTCTTTTGGTGAAGAACCCCAAGGCTCTTCTATTATAGTTTGGACCCCAAGGCCCTCCTCCCCAGCTGCAGTTCAGACATCCACTGTTTCAGGGCCCTCTTCTCCAACAGCAATTATTGGGCCATCTCAATCGCTTTCTAGGCCCACAGCACCTCATGATGAAGACACCCTGCCTCACAAGGTGTTACCGCTCTCAGATGTTCTCCAACGGGCTACCATTGTCTCTTTGGATGCTGATCCACCTCCTCAGCCTGTACCTCGGCACGTGTCATCATCTTCCTGAAGCTCACCTCACAGAAGTAGCTCCTATTGAACCCACTTCCTACACGGTTGCCAAGAAATATCCTGAATGGCTATCGGCTATGCAGGTCGAATATGATGCCTTGATGAAAAATGACACTTGGTCATTAGTGCCAGCTCCCTCTCATGTGAACATTGTGGATTGTAAATGGATTTTCAAGGTGAAAAAGAACTCTGACGGTTTCCTAGCCCGTTACAAGGCCCGCTTGGTAGCCAGAGGCTTCACCCAGCAATATGGGCTTGATTATATTGACACTTTCAGCCCAGTTATCAAGCCTGTGACCATACGGACTGTTTTGTCCATTGTTGTCTCTCACAATTGGCCCATTCGACAGCTAGATGTTCACAACGCCTTCCTTCATGGCGTCTTGATTGAAGACATTTACATGGCCCAACCACCTGGCTTTGTTGACAGCTGCCACCCCAATTATGTTTGTAAATTGTGCAAGGCGCTATATGGGCTCAAACAAGCCCCTAGAGCCTGGTTCTTTCGATTGTGCTCTCACCTATTTAAGTTGGGCTTTCAGAGATCTTCCTGTGATCCTTCTCTGTTCTTGTTTCACTCTCATGGACTTACCCTTTATGTCATTGTATATGTCGATGACATCATTGTCACAGGTAATCAGCTCTCGGCAATCCAAAAACTTATTGTTGATCACTCACATAGCTTTGCCATTAAAGATCTTGGCAATCTTCATTACTTCTTGGGTATTCAAGTTCAACGCACCCCTTCCGGCGTATTCCTCTCACAACAGCAATACATCTTGGAGCTCCTTTAGATGGTGTAACTTACTAAAGCCAAACCCATGTCTACACCTCTGACTCTCAATTGCAAACTTTCTAAGAGTGATGGTGATCCTCTTCCCGATCCATCTACCTACAGGAGCATAGTTGGCTCCCTCCAATATGCAATTATTACCCGACCTAATGTAGCCTATGCAATCAATAAGATCTGCCAGTTTCTCGCAGCTCCCACCATTTCTCATTGGAGTGCCGCCAAACACATCTTGCACTATCTGAAAGGGACTCTTGACTTTGGTCTATGTTTAAAGTCTTCTCCCTCATCTCATTTGCACACATATACAGACGCAAATTGGGCTAGGTGCCCGGATGACCACAGGTCAACTAGTGGCTTTGCTTTCTTTCTTGTGATAATGTTGGAGCACTTTGCCTTAGTGCTAACCCGCTTTGCGTCCCGCTTCAGTACTTTTCGAGACAAACTGAACGTGTGCAGCCCGGTTCAGCTTGAGGGGGCGTGTAAAAGAGATAACGCTTATCCTCCCACCAACCCAGTATTGTGATAAACTCAACCACTTCACTTGTATTCTAGATCATCTAGAACTCCTGTAGCTTATCAGTAGCTTATCACTTATCCTCTGTAACTCTATAACAAACCTATCTCTTATCTGTATTGTAATCCATATCTTCTTATATCTATAAATACATGACTTGGGTATCACATCGGCTGTGTGATTGTGAACCCATTCTTTCATATCTTGTGCTATTGTTTCACCATCATCGTTGTGCTTGAGATATCCACTTCTAGAACCATTGGCATTAATAACTTACCGGTGAAAATGATAGTCTCTTGGAGCAAAGAGTTCTGTTCTTAGATATTGTACTCCATTTTCCATCATGATGTAATCACTGCACATCTCATTGGTACTTCATGGTGTTACCAAATATTTTCTCCTTTAGTGTGGAAGGAGTAGTTTGTTAAAAGGGGTACTGCAGTATATTACATAGTCCCAATTTTTTGTGCTTCTTGACATTCTTCACAAATCACAATTTCAGTTCAGATAATAGACTTAAATCAATGATACAAGCTTTAACTAATTATTTTTTCCCTTTCCCGAATGGTGTTGTTGATATTCTTTCCCTTATCATACAGTGCCTAATAAACATACTCCTAGTAGTTGTCCAACTGATTAGGCCTGCTAGTGTAAGTTGAATGGAGAAGTGTTTGGGTTATGGTTGAGTTGGTTTCAGATGCCACGTGGCCGCCCTATTTCCTCAGCCACATCAGTGTTACATCGTCTTCGTGGCCTTGTTTAACTCTTCGGCCACGTTAGCACTGTATCATCTCCGTGGCCCCATCTTATCCTTTCAATCACGTCATAGGGATAAGTGCGACCAATACAAAAGAGCGAATGGGGACAACTCCGTTGGGAATCAAGTCTTATTCCGAAGACCTCGGCTCCGCCCAGCTGGCAAGGATTATTTGACTGCAGCCTCGATTCTTGCACCACCTAAGATCGAACAACATCAAAAAGTTTGAGTATGTAAATCTGTAATATTCAATGGAGCCATAGAAGAGGGAAGTTTTGTGTGGTAAAAATCAAGTTTCCCCATTGACGAAGATGATGAGTTACATTGAATTAGGTGTTGTGCATCGTTAAGGTGTTAAGCGCTGATCAAGGTGAGAATTTAGTATCATGATGAAGACGAGTAGAAGAGAAAAGTTTTATGTAGTAAAAGCCATCTTTCCACATTAGTCAAGATGAGGAGTTGCTAACAATGAATTTGGTAGTATGCATCTCTAAGGTGTTAAGAATCGGTCCATATATAGAAGATACTAATTTGACAAAACCTTGGAGGCCGTTACCAAAGATCATAAGCGTTGATGCAATCAGCATCACTACAACTAATGAAAAAAAAAAGACAGATAAGATTTTGCCTGAGTTCCATTGCCATGTCAATCTGCTTTTCTCTGGTATCCTATGGTTAACTGTTTTTATGTAGAGATACAGATGATTAACAGATTCATGCTGGCAAAGCCGATGGAAGACATCTCCATATCTTATGCGAGTCAAATGTACGCCAATTTGTGGAAGCTACCCAATTTTGATTTTTAGTCAATCTCTATCCAATTTCTAGTGTACGAATGACAAATTTTGGAAGCTTGGTACTTGTTGAATTGATATGCCCTTGAACTTGAGATGCACAAAAGGGTAATTTGGCCGTTGGATGTGATTTTCTTCCAAAACCAACCGTTGGATCTCAAAATATGCTAACAAGGGTAGTTTGGACCATTGGATGGATTCAATGACACTCAATTATCAAGGAAATGTGC